CGAGGCTGTGGTACTGTCCAGCCGACACAGCGACGACGCGCAAGTCAGCCAAGGCCTCGATCTTCTTCGGCAGCAGTTGGTTCTGCTGGTCGCCGTGGCCCAGCCTGCCAACGCCTCCATTGCCCCAGGTCAAGACAGCGCCGTCGGCGGTGCGGGCGATGCTGTGGTAAGCTCCAGCTGAGACAGCGACGACGCGCTGCCCAGCCAAAGCCTCGATCTTCTTGGGCAGCAGCTGCTCCTGCCCGTCGCCGTGGCCCAACCGGCCACTGCTACCCATGCCCCAGCTCCAGACGGCTCCGTCGGCGGTGATGGCGAGACTGTGGCCGCCTCCAGCCGACACAGCGATGACGCGCTGGCCAGCAAAGGCCTCGATCTTCTTCGGCAGCAGCTGGTTCTGCAGGTCGCCGTGGCCCAACTTGCCATCGCCTCCACTGCCCCAGCTCCACACGGCACCGTCGGCGGTGATGGCGATGCTGTGGCCGCCTCCAGCCGACACAGCGATGACGCGCTGGCCAGCAAAGGCCTCGATCTTCTTGGGCAGCAGCTGGTGCTGCGTGTCGCCGTGGCCCAGCTGGCCAGAGTAGCCACAGCCCCAGGACCAAAGGGCGCCGTGCGCGGAGAGAGCGAGGCTGAAGTAAAATGACGCCGCCACACCAATCGCGCGTTCGCCTCCAATTAGCGATGGGAGGCGGGTCGGCGTCTTAAGCTGCAGCACGCCCTCGCCGTGGCCGAGAAGGCCTGGAAACTCCTGCCAGTCCTCCTCGTCCTCCTCTCCCTCCGCTGCCGCGCCGCACGACGAGAGCCGCCCCTCGCCGTCGATGAAGACGCTGTGCCGAAGGCCCGCCGCCAGCCTCGCCGGCGGGTTGGCCTCGCGCAGCAAGGCATAGAAGCACAGCCACCGCACGGCGCAGCTCTCGCCCTCTGGCTGCGCCGGCAGCTCGAAGCCGCGCTCTTGCGCCCACAAGCGGATGCCCTCCAGTGCAAGCGAGGCGTGGAAGAGCAGCGAGACGGCCGCGACGCGAGCGATGTCGGCGGGGTCGCAGCGAGAGACGGCGCGCACGAGGAGGTCCGTGGGGAGGTCGAGGAGGCGATAGGGCGGCGGCGTGATTGGCGAGGGGGCGGCGGTGGCGGCGAGGCGGCGCGAGCGGCGCCGCGGGGCAGACATCGCGAGGAAAAGAAAACTGGGCGAATTTCGCTCCTTTCCTCGGGCTGTTCCAGACTCCCTAGGGTGGGCGACGGCTAGCGCATCACACACCTCTCCTTAAAATCCCTGTGTGGTGGCGGCGTGCCGTCCTCCCCATCCCTCCCTTGGGTTGTCTGTTTTCTTTCTATCTTTCTTTTCGGGCTGTTCCAGCTTCCAGCTTCCCATCTCCTTCCAACTCAGGCGAGGCGGGGGGGGGGGGGGCGTGGGTGCGGGGTGCGGTGCGGTGTGAGTGTGTGCGTGTCATGTGGCTACAGCAAGTGTCCGTCTGTCTCTGGGGGGAGGCGGGGGCCCCCGGAGGCACCGTGCGCCGCGCCGCAGTGCGGAAACGGGGCCCCGGCTCTACTAGTCTCTACTAGCACCGACTTCCCGATTAAGCTAGGTTAATCAGAGGGCAGATTTGGAGAGATCTCGAGGAGTACATACAGATAGACCCTCCAACCATCAGAAAACTCCGACCTGATCGGTCGTACTGACCGCCGACAGATCACTCCAGACAGCAGACAGGCCGACGTCTGCACGTGGCCGGCCGGGCGAGAGGCTTGACACGATCCGACCCTGCGACCCTGACGCTGCTGCTCTAGCTATCAGACAACTGCTGACTGCTGCCACAATGTGTGACCGGTGCTGGCCCACTTGGCGGCCTTCCCGGTCAGTGGTGAGGCGCAGTTCAGAGCTGTCGATGGCGCGATGCCGCACTGGTCCCACATCGGTGACACGAGACCACCACGTTTGCCG